GTTTTCCTTGCTTTACGCAAATACTTCCCTACTGTTGAAATAAGAGTATGTGACATCATATTCCTGTAGGTTCCTGTAAACCTGCACTATTCACGTTTCTGAAAGGTGGCATCCACATAAAACAACCAACACTGTCACTGCTCAAAGGAGTGCTGCTGGCTTAAATAAACTCTGAAATAGAAAAGCTTTTAAAAATCCCCTTTGAAGCCTCTTCCCAAACTCTGGTAAACAGGTCACTCTTTCACCAGTTCAGAGATCAGCTATTGATATGATGAAGTTTTTAAAATACATTTTTGATAATGTGTCCATTTAGTTCAGATCCCCAGATAGAACATGTGTGTATATGTGCCTAACCATGTGGATAAAGCTCTTCTTTCAGCTGGGGTGCTTATGGATGATTAAAATAATATCATTATATCTCTTTCTTTGATCACAAATTAGTGTACCACATTATCTTGATCTTCAGCAACTTCCAGCTTTGATGTTATGTTTAATAAAACATGGTGCTGCGTTGGAGAATCCCTAGGGAAGCTTTAATTTCTTTTTTTTTTCTTTTTAATACATGTTACATTTTAAATGGGATTAAATTGTCTGATTAGTAAAGCAGGCTCTTGTGGTAGCAGATAAATCCTGAATTCCTTGGGGTGATCTACAACCATCCTTAAAGCATCTTTCCAAGAGAATGGCAATCTCAGAAAACCCCAGAAAGTTAAGCAAAACATTTTCCACACGCCAAGCCTGGTTTCATGTCCCCACCCCACTGTGGCTTTGCTCAGTCTTGCTCCTCCATGCAAATCCTTAATTTTGCCCTTACAAAGGTTGGTCAGGCTAGTAAATCCATAATGTAGGGCATGGCAAATCCACAGGTACGAACAGTAAATCCATAATGTGCCGTGCCACTCAGCATTATTAAAAATACTGGTGAACAAGGCCAGCTGCAGCCATTCTCCCATTGCTGGGCAGCAACTAGCAGGGGAGCTTTGTGCCACATGGGTTATCCTGTTACAAAGACTTTGGATAACACCTAGAAGTTACAGAGGAGCAGGAAAGCCTACAGAGAGCCAGGATAAGAAAGAACATCTCTCAAGGGGGCAAGAAAGGGGCAAGAAAGGGGCAAGAAAGGAAGGGCCATGCTGATGGGCAGGCAGCTCTTTCCTCTGCTGCAGCTGCTCAAGGAGGTAACAACAGAGCAGCCTTCCCTTTGGCAAGTACAGCAGCCAGCTCTCATCCAAGGCAGCTCATTCCTATGTTCATTTTAATTGTCTCCAGCAGATTAGTGGGGGAAAGTGGAGCTTAATAAACTCTGGTAGAGGATGGCGATATGAATCTCTCAGAGAGGAGGTCTTTTCTAGGCTGTCAAGCAATAATAGCCTGGAGAACCTGGGGCCATGTCATTATGCTCTTTATTACATTTCATAAAGGCTATGTATCATAGAAGTAACATCATAGAGTTGGACAGTGAGAGCCCAAACAGCTTTTGCTCTAATGCATGTACAGGACAATTCTCCATCACTTTGGCTTTTATTGGCTAACACAGTTAGTCAGTGTTTGGAACAGTCGATCAACTACTTACGCAAGAAGAAAAGTTAGGAAGTATGACAGACTGACTAGTGAAATAAAATTCCAAATTAAAAAGACATAAATACAAGAGACTTTTTAACTTGTTATGGCTTTTCCTCTTGGTTCATGAGGTTTTTAATATTTCTTTGGAGACGTTTTTATATATATATACATATAAAAAAACATATTGCTGTGAAATATACTTCTATGCATGTAATTGGCTGCATAATACTCAAGGAAAAATTATACATAATCCTCTGATTATTTTAGAAATACTTCAAATGTCTAGTATCATGATAGAATTCCTATCTAAAGAATGCTGAAGTTCCCCAGCACAAGACAAGAGTCTTGTAACACAACCATGGTTTTTGGTCATTTAGTATCAAGCCCCAGCTCAGATATCATTTGCACCTGTAAGCAGTTTACACAGGGGAGTAGCACAGCCACCTTTTCAGAGAGTTACTTATGCACAGAGCTACTCTTGCATAGAGTAGATCAGCAGAAATACTGTGTGCAAGATGGTATATTTGAGCTTTTTCAGAGTTGGACCAAAAAAAGAGTTGGATATTTTCAGGACCCAAAGAAGGAGATGTGGGACTGGAGCTCATATCTACTCAATAGAGAAAATCTCTTCAAATACACAGAGGTAAACATTTTTTGTTCAAATCTGATCCTTCCCCTCCCAGTCAAGGGGATAACAATATTACCGAACCAATTTGAAAGAACATTTCACAACATGTTTAAAGAGTGTTGAAATAATTAATGGCAATTAAAAAAATGCCAGGAGAAGAATATATATGATGAAGGGTCTGTTGAGATAGATACGAGGAGTGAGTTCGATAGCACTACTCGTATAGATACAGGAGGCACAATGTGAAAACAAAGCAGGGCCAGGGAGTTTGTTGAAATAATGGAAAGAGACCTCACAAAACATTGCACTGTTTCAGCTACTTTGGTAGCACTGTTTTAAGAATGTGCTTAATTACCTTTTGTTTCCCTTTTCAACCAGTTTCTAAATAACGGACTCCCAAGTGAACTGTAATTTGCATTCTCAACAGTTTGGCTCGAGGTGAAAGCACGCAGGAGAAGAAAGCTTAGCTCCTTGCTCTGGCATACTCGGCATACTCTGCCTACTGCCACGTGTAAGCCCAGGACACCGGAAACTCAGAGGCTACCGCTGAGCACGCACATCAGTGGCAAGGGCTTTTCCTGGCCTTCCTGGCAGCACATTTGCTTCGTCTTAGCTCCTCAAACCAGGACCCCAAATCCATCCCTGCTCTCTCTCCCCTTGTCCCCCTGCAGCCTCCAGCCTAGGATATTGGTGTGACATTTAAGACAGTGAACATACATAGAGAGTTTTAGAAGAAAACAAGATCCATTACAGAGTAACAGCCCCATAAACCACAGGATGACAGGATCTGTCCCATTGGAAAAGTCGTGAAACAAGAAAGTCCTTTGAATGTCTCTCTGACCCAAGAGATAAAATTAGAAAACTCAAAACCAACTGTTGTGAAATCGGTTTTGCATGCTTTAGTAATTCAGAAAGGTTATAACTATTTTGAGTAGATATCTTGGTGTTTTTGAGGACATTGGCTGTATGTCCTGTAAAGGACACTGCCTTTAATGGAGTGAGAATTTTAACCTTGAACTTTGTGCTACTTAGCCAACGAGCCAACACTAAGGGCTCAAATGAGAGCAGGAAAGAAATGAGTGTAGTGGTCCTCAGTTTGCTACAAAACCTTCCTGCCTGTAGCAGGCAAACAGAATCACTTTGCTTAAAAGCCATGACTGGGAATGGCCTACAAAATTTCCACCATCTAAGCTGTTTATTTGAGAAATATCTCAGGAAAACAATTAGTAGCATCAATTCAAGTGACAGACTTGAACGGGGCTCAGAAGTATAGTTGTCACGGGACTCAGAAATATAGTTGTCTCCTACAGGGAGTAAAAGTGCTTCCCTCTAAAGAGGATTTGGCTCTTTCAGTGAAAAATGGAAAGAAAAGTCTTGGTCCCACAGCATAATATCCTGATTTTAAAAAGTGGCAATAGATGAAGTTCAGGAATCTCATCTTCTTTCTCCTTGAAAGGCAGTGTGAGGACTTAACTCTTCAAGTTCTGTTTCCATGGTGTTCCCCATTTCAAAAACTTATCTTCTTATCTGCTTTGATTGTTAGGGAACACTTGACAAACCCTGTAAAAAGTTCATCTGACTAACATTTCTTAACATTTATATACTGATAAATCTTAGACAGTTTAATAAGAGAATTTATATATATATATAAAAGCATATGTATACACACACATAAAAACACACATAATTATTGCAGCAAATAAATGAATCTAAAGAAACTCTCTTTCTCCGTTTGAAATGATTCCACTGTGTAAAAATGAATTAAGGCACAAGGTAAAAATAAATACCAGTTAAATGTGGATCTTTCTTTGGAGAGGAGAGGGCTATTTTGTTTTATTTTCTTTCCTTTAGTAATAAGCTTAGTAGTAGTGTTACATGTTTCCTGATGTATTAAAGTATGTCTTTTGTGAATATTGTCATAAATCTGATGAAAAAAAATGGTCTATGTAGATGCTGCATTTAAAAGTCCTCTGCTTCTGAACAGGTCATTTGCCTCAAATGCAGAATTTGAGGACATGCATGTACACTAATTACATTCCTCTTTGAGTTCCAGGTACTAAAATAACCCAAAATTAAAGCTGGTGTAGTATTTCAAACTCAAGTGTACACGATGCTTACCTTCAGCACAGAATTAAATTTACCCTATCGGAAATAAACAGCCACATTGTGAACAGGAATAAGTATTCTAATGTTTCTGGGTATCGCGATGCTGGTAAATCCATTTGCAGATTCTAATATTCACCATATACTGATTTTTACCATAAGTTGTTCTAAAATGAGAAAGTCAGGGTCTAGCAAGTATCCTTTTTGTTTAATTCTTGCAGATATAAACCACGAGGTGCTTTCTCAGTTTGAAAATATTCCAAAACCTGTGGCACTAATCAGATATGAAACTGAATTTATCTAAAATCTTGTGTCTGCCACATCATTTATGTCATGCTGGGCAATGACAGGGTAAGTTATGAAAATGCTGTATTAGACAGCAGATGAGAGCTTTGTAGCAGGTCTTGTGAATTTCTTCATCCAGAAGAAAGAAATTTTGTATGGGAACATTCTGCATAGCACCCCCGCAGAGCAATAGATTAAAACTGGATTTAACATTTACCTCTTGCTAAACTATAAATCAGGAATTAGAGTTGATAAGGACAGTTATCCATCAACAGCAATGCAAATGAATAGAAGGAGTTTCATGGATAAGAAAAATCCCCTCCCTTTCTTTTTCTCTTAAAAAACCCCTATATTAAAGGTTTCTAGGTTCTGAATAAAGAGTGATTAGATCCATGCAAGTCATCAGCCTAGATCAGAAGATCCATTTGAAATGAAATCTCTCCACACTGCTGTACTTTATTCAGAATCTCTAGCAGTGGGCTGGAGTTGAGATGCAGCAGTTTGCATTGTAGACTCCTCAACACAAGATCTGAAGAGACATCTACCACAGCCGGCAAGATTCTGCACCTCGATTCATAGTTGTATTTACCGGGCAATTGAAAGCTTTACGGAACTCTTCGAAATTGCTCATGGCACCAATAACTCTGCAAAGAAGGAAGAAAAATGATCAGCACACAAGTTATTTTGTGTTGAACGCTACAGGTTCTGCAGATTGCATTTTGAGGTTTCCCGTATCATTTTCACAGAAATAAAAACAAAAAGGTCAGGAGAATCAGTTACTTTTAAACATAATGTGAAGCTAATCTTGTTTCTTTCAGTGTTTTGAGAAGCATCTTACTTTGCAAGAAACTAGAGTGAAAACGATTCTGTTTTCTGATTCTGTTTTGCTGATTCACTGACAAAAAAAAAAAGGCAGCAGGTCAGAAGTAAACTTGTGTAGTGGAATTTGACTTCCAGCAGCTATAAAACTGCCCTGGCTCCCCTCTGAAGTTCTTTTGCTTCCACCCAGTGTAATATCGAAAGAACATCTCTGCTTTGCACAATCTAGACAATGTGTCTGCACCCCAGACTGGCACCTTCAGGCACAGAGAAAGAGTTCGTTCTTTGCAGGCAGTGATCCTTGGCTGCTTCTTTTATGTCTGTATTATTTCATGCTGTCAGAAATTATTATTTTACCATTGCTAGATTGCGATTGAGCTGTTGCTGATTTCTCCCCATCCTTTTAAGGATCTTGGAACTTACTAACCTGAAATTTGAAATTATATTAAAGCGAACAGCATCCTGCGTTAAAAGCAGAAAAGTATTAATTGTACGTCCTTCCAAAAGAAGGCACTTTTCTCCATTGCAGACAATCAGCTTCTCAGCACAGCTCAGCATGGTAGAAAACATTCTTATTACATTGATTAGACTTTCTGTGGGTAAGAAAATCTGCAGTCAGCTGGTACCAAAATGTCTAAAGGTCAGATTTGTAAGGAGAATTACAACTGGTTGTTAGGCTTCAAATAAGATTTATAGCTTTATTGTAGAAAAGTTGCAAATATTTATTCCTGGACCAGGACAGCAATCGTGCTGCCTGCAGACCTGCTGCTGAAGTTAGTGGGAGTTCTGTCTGCCATGCTGGGGGTTTCACTTTGAAACTGGCCTTTCAAAATGAATAAAACACATGCTAATACTGAAAATCCGTTAATTGAATATAAATAAGACCAGAGATTTATTAAAACTGTTAACTAAATATAAATAAAGGCAGAAATGTAGTAATCAAAAAATATTTGCATATCCCTAAGTGTGGCTCTTCTATCCATGTGTGGCAATTTAATATTGCCATACATTAACTGTGAAATATGAGTGGGCTGTCTCACTCAGCCCGCTGTACTACAGTCTAGGCAAATTCTGCTAATGGGTCACCCTCAGCTCCGTGACAGTCAAAAATATGTATGTGCAGAGTCCAAGTCATCCAGCTTACATATCTACAGAATGATGAGGCATACATACACATCCTCAAAATGCCTATTCTTTTTTGACTATGAGGGTGATTAGCTCAGATGTACACACATATGCTCAAGACATGCATTCTTTACTCTTTCTCCCTCTTTTATGATTAGTAGGCTGGTTTGGGATTTTGGGATAGCAAGAGTTGTCCGTGTTGAAAGTAGCTCTATTGCTGTTATAAACATGATGTTGTAGAACACAAATGCAGCAAAGTTGGACAAAAGAGATATTGCTTCTTAGCACTGTTGATATGACTGGGAAAAATAGACAGGCACCAAAGTCTCTCTGTAGGTCTGAAACAGAAGCTTATGCTGAATATCTCACCAAAAAAAAAAAAAGACAAAATTTTAACTATATTTTCTAGATGCTGGATTCATCTAATGTTATTTGGAAGTATCTTCCATAACCTGATTCCTTCAACTAAATGTGATTTTTCCTCATGAATGCTCTATGACCAGCTTCCCAGAATCCTATATGATTTGCACCATCTCATAGGAGTATAGCTATATGATGATTCAGAATGTATAAATAGCTCAATAAATCTGTGGACTTTAAAAGGTAAGAGATGGTTATTTTACCAAAATCTTGACAGGGCTAGGAATTATTAAAAACATCACACGGCAGGGGTGGGGGGATGAATGTGCTATTCCAGTTCTCATGGCCATGAAGCATTTTCAGCTGCTATAAGAATGTGGATTCCTAACCACATCAGGCACCCAAGCTAGCTGGTTTAACAGGTGTTGTAAAGATATAGCAGCACATGCTTCATTACAGACTACAGAGGTCTAACAAGACTAATCATACCCGTCCGCATTGCTAGCTTACATTAAATTTGTGTCATCATGTTTCTAGTTTCATCGCTTCTCTCCCAGTCTGCTCAAAAGTTGGTTGTGGTGCACTAAAGATGCTGTGGCTATATCTTCAACTTCAGCGTAGCTAGGTCTCAGGAATATGTCAGAGTACCTGTTACCCTTCCCAATTTGTGAAAAAAACCTTACAGACCCTCTGTGAAAGCAGTGTTGACTTTTTTTTTTTTAATAAGAGAGAACTGAGACAAAGACAGACTCATGTTGCCTAATTTTAGCCATGTAGGAGGTGGCATCCAGGCTCCCTCTTTAGTCAATAGAAGAAGTGAGGATCTCCAGCAGGCAGTTAATCCATTGTATTGCAGACATTTCCACTATAACAAGACAAATCACCTCCTGGAGGTGCTAACATCCTTCCAGAAATGTGGAGGTAATGTAGCCACCTAGATGAGGGCAGGTAGCATAAATTTAACTGACATGAATCCTATCAGAAATAACTCAGACTTGGTTACATAGACTCCACAGAAAAGCAGAGAATTAATCTCAAGATTCCTCACATAGACTTTAAACTTTTTTCAGCCTCTCCTTCTTGAGGTTCAGGTGCATCTGGGGTTACAAGGGCCTCCTGGGGAGAGGCACAGAGACACTGTTGAGGCCAGACTATGATGGCACCTTTTAGCAGAGCATCTCTAAAAGGCCAGCTGGGGTTCACTCTTAAACTGGATTTAAAGAGCACGTTGTGCTTAGCATTTCTACCTGCTCATTACCAATATAATTCAAGGAACTGTCTTTAAAGCTTTTAATGAACTCAAGCAGATTAAATCAAGGACACTTTTAACATTCATTGTCTTCTAAACTAGAGTTGCATGGAAATAAAAGAGAGATAGATGGAACATTTTAGATACTCAGACCTTGATTATAGAACAGCACAGAGATCAGCGTGTGTCCTGTTTCCGCTGTTTTTGAAGGCAAATTCAAGACTCTCATTTTTTACAGACAAGTATTTGTAATAGCAGAAGATAAGCTAATAAAAAGCAGTTCCATTTCAATCTAAGCCAAGAGCACATTCCAATTTTGTGTTTGCTATTAAATGCCTCTTAACATGCTAGATTTCTGCACTTGTGTGCTACAATGATTGATCTTATATGTATCCTAAGTAAATACATTATTTGCACTACCTGAACTGAGGAGGGCTGTGAGCTCCAATATGTATTTGCTCTCTTGCAGATTCTGGTCTAAAAGAATTGCATCTTACCTAATAAAAGATAAAAAGCAGAAACAGGCACATTACTTGAGATGACTTTGTAAATAAAGCAAAATGTCATATCACAGTTGTTTAGGTACCTATTACTTATAGAGTGCACAAAAGGGAAAGAAAGCATTATCTTCTATTTTGTTTTACTTTAGTAGCTTTGCAGTTGGTGTATTTTCTTGTTTTTCAAAACTTAATGGATCAAATCTTCACCCAATGCTATTCTCCACCCACTCATCCCCATCATTTAATTGTAGCCACTCTGCTAGTTCCTTTCTGAGATTCTGTACAGGTGAAGATTGTTTTTCAGCTTGTGCTGTAGCATCCCACGCTTCAATAATTGTCAAGTATGTTTCTTGGTCTCAAAGCTATGTAATGTGTATAAAAGGTAAAATGCAATGGTGCTTCTCATCTCTAGAATTGCAACTGTATTACCTGACACATTTGCTCAGTACTGGAATGTCAGTTGCTTTTGAAATGACACCATTTGCAAGTTTCCATCAATGGTCCCTAATTTACTGTTCCTATACACAATACTAGGACCAACTGTAATTGAACATAAAAAGGGTGATAATATTTGCAAAACTGAATGTGCTATATCTATTGCATAAAAGACCTCATATAATGAACCCTTACATTACCTAAGCCCCTGTGTTGAAGGTCTCCCATTGACAAAGGCCAGACAGCATTTAAACTAGACAACCAAGTTTTATAGTCCAGCTTTTACTCCTCCTATAGGGAATTTGTCCAACTGTTCACCAAATAAATCTTTTCTGAATCTCTCCCTTGTTCTACACCATTTTTTATTAAAAAAAAAGTTGCATTCTCTATCAAAGGTTTATCAACCCATATTTAATATACAGCAAACAAAGATGAGAAAAAAAGAAACGTTTTCTTCACTGCTTCTTAGTTTCACTGAACAGTGTGCCCAGTAACAAATGAGACTGGGACACTTGCAACAGGAGTGTGTAGAGTGGTGAGAAACTGCTGTATCTTGGAAGCCCCACAAAAACAGGAAACTTCAAAGAGAAGATATTAAATGAGTCTGTAGGTGCAAGAAGACTTAGCCATGGAGGGAAGCAGCAAGAGGAAAGCAAGCTGCCATGACAACACAATGCAAGAACAAGAATAATTTCTGAAGTTCTGGTACCATGGAGAGATAGAGGAGGACACAAAGAGAAAGGGAAAGGAAGTAATCACCTCGGGGAAAAAAAGTCTCTAATTATACCCTTAAAAGTCTGGGTTTAGTTGGTATAGATAGTTAAAGCAAGGCAGTCTCGTCTCCACACCATATATTGTGCAGGTTAATAGATGTGCACTTGGAACACATTTGTATTACTCACATGGGCATAACTCAGAAAGAAAAGCTGGTTGTTTGTGAACTCAAGCCCTGGCAATAGAGGTTCTTCCTCTCCTCCTCTCTTCTCTGCAATCCATCTCCTGTATGCCTGATAAGAGAGAGACAGCAAGTGCCCTTCACTGACATGGAGCCTAACCACTTCTTTTTTATAAGAAAAAAGAAAAAGGCAAAAGTGTGTTTCAGCCATTTTTCATCTACTTACCCTGAAAGCCTCTCGCAAACCTCCATTATCTGCAATGTTTTCTGCCAAAGTCCTCTTGCCTTTTACCTGACAGAATGAAAGAACATCAGTCATTTGACCTGTTTCTGAACTTCCTTTTTGATCAACTTCAAGAGACAGGGGAAAAATAAAACAAGGTGAAGACAACCTCAGCCAGTTTCAGCAATCATATCTCTGGTAAGGAAAATCGGTTTTCAATGTGAAAACTGTCAGTAAACAATTCTCTGTGATGAGTTAGCCTGGCTCTTGGCCTCGATCTCAGTAGCACAAAATGCAATAGATATCAAGAATCCTCGAGAATCCTGTCCCTGATCTTTTATCTGGGCATCAATAATTTTCCTTCAAGCCTGTCTTTCTGTGGTTGCATGTGAGATCCAATTCTTAAACTTTTATTTGAGAAGTTTTATTTATTTCTCTACATAACTCTTTCTTCATGTGCTACTAGGAAGCTACAATAACTTTTAAGTTATAAAATAAAACAGCATAATTTAAAAAAAAAAAAACTGTCAGGGAGAGAATTGAAATTGGTATTCAGTGCTCTGAAAAAAAGAAAAAAAAACTACAAAGGAGATTCATGTTGCTTTTCCCTGGTATTGATTCCAGCAGCAAAGGCATTGGCAACGAGAATATATTTGGAGAAGCAGTGCTTTCTCAGCTTTCTGAAAAAGCCAATCTCCCACTATTACAAAATGCAATATCATTACGAAGAAAACCCTCATTTCTGTGAAGTGCTGCATGACCTCTGATCACACGGCCTGCTGGGGTCTTTGCAGTATCAAACTGCATTTGTAATTAGGCAGTTTTATGCTCTGCTGTCCCTTGAACAAGCAATGTAATGGAGTACAGTTTCAAGCAGAGCTGAGAAGGTCAGTGCTGGTCTGCAAATTATCTGCTGACTGGTCCTCCTGTGTCACAGGGGATGAGCACAGCGAGTTGGGGTCAGGGTCAGGAGGGTAAAAGAGAGGAAAATGGGGCAGGAAAGGTAAAGGGGCCCCAGAAGCCCCCAGCCTCAGCACTCAGTGCACACCTGAACCAGACCCAAGGCACCTCATTTGACATGGTGTAAGAGCAAAGACATGGAGGCGTTAGAGAAGAGCGTACCTCTTTCCTCCCAGTCCCCCCTTCCTTACAAGAGGATGGAAGTGAAGATGGGAAGGAGAAAAGGTGCTGGGACACCAGGAGACACATACAGATGTATACCAGCTTTGCTTCTGGCCTACCTACTCCAAATTTTTGATTGGAGTAGGTTCATGAATTACTCTGGTTTAGATCATCAGTGGCCTCAGATTATTTCAAAAGGACTTCCCACCAAACTCAGGCAGCTCTGAGTCAAACTTCTGAGACTACTGTGTGCAGACTGTTTGTGGCCAGGTGCAAGGACCACGATAAGCCCATCATTTTATCAGATGACTTTAAGTGATTACTGTACTCTGAAGCGATTTCTATACCCACTTCTTCTTTCGTTAAGCTACTTTCCTGGAGACAGTTTTATTGTAAACTGAGTGAGGAGGTGGAAAAATAAATAGGTTTCTTGAACCATATAAAATATTCCTACAGGGGTAAAAACAGAACAAAATTCAGAATGTACAAATATTGGAGATATAAATGAAAGAAGAAAAAAGGAAAGAAAGCAAGCTCTTTGCACATGTATCTCTTCATACAGAAGCTGTAAAATATTTCAGAAAATATTGAGATTCTATTAAAGTTATCCTATAGAAATCCCCTATCATATTTCAAGAGAAAAAAAGCCTTACAAGTGAAAAGACTGCACTGTTAAACCCATCCACCAACTCCAAAAACTCTAACTATTCTGGAAGGGAAAGTTCAGATCTACTCCACCTCAAAAGACACTACAGAAAGTAAAGTAAATGGATAAGCCAATTGCAGAAGCATGGAAAAGACTCAGTCTCTTCCTTGGGGAGGTTTTAATGACCTTCTGTAAGTGACATTTTTGTGCTGATCATTCTTCTTGTGCAGATGTTCAGGAATCAGACGAAGAATTTTTATTTGCAAATTATCCTACAGGAAGTACTTCAAGTCTGAACTGCTGGACTTCACACTGGACTGCAAAATGACCTTTTTATCTCTGAGACTAATACAAACAGCCCAGGGAAAGTATTAAAATTACTGTTAGGCAACCTCTCTATTCATTAAAGGCAAAGAAGTATTTCTGATGCTAAAATGCAAGTAAAAGGGCTAGAACTGAGTAGGAGGGGATATGTGTTTTATTCTAAAAATTAAGACTAAAAGTGTGTTCCAGGCAAAGTCAATAGAACTACAGCTATTCGTTTGTGAAGGCCTGGGATTTATCCTATTTATCATTCATTTATAAATTCATTTAGAAAAAATATGCACATTTTCAGAGGAGCCCAGATTTCTGACAGACAATAAAGAGACCATTTCCTTGCTTTTTCCTTCTTAGTCCTTTTATTTCAGCTACTGCTTTCATACTCCCTTCATTTGAGATCAAATTGTGTCTGCATGCACGCATGGAAGAAATAGAGTTGAATGTAGAATAATGTAAGGTTTATGCATCCATTTTATAACCATAATAAATAAGTAATAAATAACAGGCAGAATTGCCAAAAGGATCTATAAAACATGCTATTTGTTTCTTTTCAAAAAGAATGACTGTTCAGCCCTCATCTCTGACCTCACTTTCAGAAGATGTTTAATATGCTCATACCAATTAAATCAGCCCTCTTGAGTGGCTTCATCCTCTTCCTCTGTTTCCAATATGATGTTGTGGTGAAAAGCAGTTTAACCCTGTCAGCAGTGTATGGGGAATGGTATTTGATTGGAGTAATCAAATGTGACAGACAATTCTGATCACAATTATTAATCTCCAAAGAATGATTTGTTGTGAGAATCAAGTTGGTAGTCGAGAATCCCTCTATGTTGGGGTTTATGAACAGACGATTAAAAAAAAAGAAAAATAAAATAAAAACAGTAACAAAAAAACAGACCAACAAAAATCCCTTCAAACGTTCTAATCAACCAGTGCTTTCAGTCAGTGATATTTTACATACGTGTAAGCCAGCTCTCTTCCAGTAGTAATTGCTGTACTGGTTAATCATGCATTTTGTCTTCTCTTTAAATTTTTCTTCAGATTCAGTTGTCCACCAAGGGTCTAAATTTCCATCTTTATCATACTTCCGACCTAGAAAGAAAGAAAGAAAGAAAAAAAAAAGAAAAGAAAGAAAAAAGGAAAGAAAACAAACCCTCCTGTTGGAAAAATATACTTTTCCCATTTTAGAATATATCACCTGCACTAACATGAGAGCTAAATATATATGTTTGTGTGTGTGCAAAATGCATAAGAAAAATAGAAAAAATCCAGGGCCAGTGAAGCCATTGATAAAAAGCTGGTATTCCACTTACTGTCATATTTTCCATTTTTATAATAAAATTGCAATGAGTAATGAGTACTATAGTACATCTTATAATCATACAGTGCAACAAGCACATGAGCTGTCCTGTAAGCACAATTGTATTTTTCATCTGCAGCCCATATGTCTTTGATTCTGTAAACTGGAGAAGTCATTTATTATTAATTAATTAACCTGACCAGAAAAAAAAACAAAAAAACTAGAAAATGGCTGAACTTCCCATTTTTCACCCTAGAACAAAAACAGAACATTTGAACCATGTTCATGGAAGCAAGAAGAATATATACATCACATTCCCCAGTCTGGTGCTTACAGTAACAGCTCATGGGAGAGTAGGTCTTTGCTCTGCCTGCTTTATTGAAGAGCATTTAATCTCCATCATCTCTACAGCGAGTCAGAGCAGGAACCTAAAAGTGACCGTCAGAGCCGACCACTACCAGTTGGGCTAGGCTCTTACTTTCCAAGCACAGAAAAAATATGTATCTCTAGAGAGTGCCTCCATGTAGACAAGACAGTACATTTCAGGGAAAAAAGGGGAAAAGGATGGCTTAAAATGTCTTCAATGCTTTTGTAATTGGTATTATATGTCTGTCTGTTTCCTACTTCTGGAGTCATAAAGACGAATCAAATCACAGAGCAAGGCTGCATCTGCATGGACAGCTAACCTGCTCTCCAAAAGAGTCCTGACATGTCTTGTTTCCATATTACTGAACCAACATACTAGTTAAGACTTCATTACCAGCCTTTTGGGAATATAGGTCAGCACTGAGACCTACAGCTCCAGGGCCTCCACATCATGCTGTAGGATGAAGAAATTTGCCATTACTCATGTCTTGTAACAACCTCACTAAAAGGGCCTAGTTCCAGAAACTGATTTTATCAAACTATCCATCAAATACATGGATGCACTTGCTACACAATAAGCTGTAGGATGTGGAAGTTATAGGGCAAGTGTAAGCTTGTGAAGAAACATTTTTCCTTTAGGGAGTGTTCACTCACCCAACCCAAAACTTTAGTGAACAGCGCCAGTAGGATTCAAGTTTTATTTTTAACAGGTATTAAAAGTAATGTACCATACACAATCTAACTCTATTTAGGCACTGAGCTAAAAGCCTCTTTTTCCTTAATGTATTCAGTGGAGAGAGCTTCTTCTAGCTGGTGAGTCAGAACAGGAGATCAGTTAGACACTGAGAATTGCTCTCTGGAGGAGGTTGTCTCTCTCTCTAAAGGGAGCTCTCCTTTACACAGTACTTCAGTGAAGTAGTCAAAGTTAGTTGGTGGGAATGCCCCAGCCCACCCAATATTACAGGAAAGCTAACAAAGTGTGTTTTGACGCTTTCTGAGCAGTTCTTCTTTTCTTTAAATTTTGCAATATGTTTTTATTCAAGTTTGAATTTTAATATTTTAATATATTTTTATTTTAAAATGTCAATACTGAAATGAAAAGATTTCTTAGAAATGATTTTTATTAGGTATAATGGATTTCTTTGTGACTCCCATCCCCTTCTAGACAGTTAGTTGTGAAGATTTAGTTTCCATACTTTCTGGAAAATAAAGAAAAAGAATAAAACATTCCGTCACGGGGAAAAAAAAAAAAAAAAAAAAAAGCTCAGGCAACCAAGAGTGTATATAAATAAATAATTTAAAAGAAATCTGAATTTTCCTTGCACATCATTTTTAGGAAACTATACAAGCCATCTTTCTAATCCATTAACTCCTTAAAATATAGTTATCAAAATATGGACAAATACTCACCATTGCTATCAAATCCGTGAGTAAACTCATGGCCAACAATTACCCCGATGGCACCATAGCTTAGAGACCTGTAACACAGAGAAGTATTTTCTTTCAGAAAACATCCATACTCATGAACATCGAAGTACAGAAGACAGAAGATGTCCTCCTTCCTGAGGAAAGAATGTTATTTTTTTATATAACTGGGAGGGGTGGAACAGAGTGGAGGAAATGATGTAAGAATAATACCTACAAAATCTTGTCTTAAAGTCTGAATGTGAAATTTTCATTTGTTTAAAAAACAAACTTTAATGTAAAACCTTGTAAAGCAGAACAGTGGTTCACTCTTCTAGCCAAATCCCTGATTAGCATCATCTCTGCTCCAGAATGTCTCTTCTAGCTAATTATGCATATTCTGAGAACAGGACAAAGCCATAGGTGAAATTATTCTCTTGGCGTAATCATTAAAACAAAACAAAACAAGCAAAACAAGCATAGATCAAAGTTGCAGTGAGCCTGTGTCATTTCAGCTCTAATCCTCCTTCTCTGTCACGCAGCAAATAGACTTGCAAATGACTAACTCTAGTTTGTGGAGCATTAACCAGAACTCCATCCAGGTTTCAAAAGAGAGATCATGGTTTCCTTTCACCTACGCAGAAACAGGACATGATCTACTGTCATATCTAATGCACTGAAGAACCATAAGAAATACTTTGTATTCCTGTTTGATGCTGAATTATATTCTCCTGGTTACATCTGAATAAACACATGTTTGGGAGAAAGAGAAATGAACAAGGGAAAGATTCTTTTTTCTGGTATCGAATGAAGTGGCTGGTGGGAGGAAGGGGCACTATCCACTAAACACATCTTCCACTTGTTAGATTGCTCTCTGTGACTCTAATGGTTTTAGTTATTGAGATGCCGTACCTCAAAGTAACTTAGGGTATTTCTAACACATTGTATTAAAATAGGAGAAGAGGCTGAGGATTTTGAAGTAACGTGTTATTATTGGACTTAATGATCCATAACATGCTAATTGCTCATCCCAGTCATGCCCAAAAAGTATAATATGATTTAATTCCCCCTATTCCTATAATAATTCTTCACTTCCTTTTTTTTCTTCCTGAAAGGTAATTTGCATGTGATAAAATCTTCCCTACTGTTTTTTTTTCCCCGGTACTACTGCAACCTTCATTAAAAACGCTTGTTAAAATTATACATTTCAGCAATGGAAATACCATCTTTTTTGTGTGACAAATTTGTAATCTTGTGTAGCACACAGTGATAATTATCCACACTAAATGCACTGTAGACTTGCTTTCCACATCTGAAGTAAAATGGTCACACAGGATCTTTTGCAGCTGGAAAAGTACAAAAGGAATGGCACAAAACATGCAAAGAGGTCCCTTAACTTAAGCCCTCTAGCTAGGTATGTCTTATTTTTCTCTAAAGCCTAGCGAGCAGCCCAGAATCAATTTTATATCCATGGTAACAACATGTTCAGTCAGGTGCATCCCAAGGGTGCCCAATGTTAGCACCATTCCTCCTGGCAACTCCATCCACCGCCCCGTGGCCCTTAAACCTCTTTGGCCAATGGTGGGCAGGGGATGTCCAGGCACTCCTCGAACCTCCCCAGCTGGGGTGAAGCTTTGCGTGAATTTTGGCCATTCCTTCTGCAAACCCCTCTGACTTCTTCGTTCAGCACTGCAGTGTTTTTGCCGGCTCTGCCAGGCTTTTCCTTTCCAGCTGGATGGAGATGAGGAGGACCAGGGTTAGTCCCACAGGTACCAGGTTAGCAAGGAACCTTCCAGGAGTAGGAAAGCTCAGAGGATGTTAGGGAAGCTACTGATTCAGGTAGTTTGAAGTCTCAATTTCAGTGTGCCTGGCATTGAAGGCATACTGAACTATGAATGACGGCATTTGAACGGTGTTTTCTTTTGTGCACTGATGTGTAAAGTGATAACTCATCTTCCCTTTAAGCAAATAAGTGCAGCTGATTTTAAAGAGGCTATGCTGGAACTGGACACTAAAACACCACTAAATATGAAATATTTGCTAAACCTGTTTTTTCAACAAGTACTAATTATTTTTTTTTGATTTTTTTTTTAATTCCAGTGCCATGTACTGTTTAAATAGACAGAAAACAGCC